AATGAGGTGGGGAAGGGTTGGGAGCCCCGGGGAACCAGCTCTGAACCCTTAGGGAAGGACCTCCACGTGAATCTTGCCCCAGGAACTTGCCTTCAGCTGTTCTCAGACAGGAGGAGGGATGCTCGCAGCTCAAGGGTAGATGGGGGTGTGGGGAGATGGCCAGGACCCGGACCCTTTGGGAGGTACCCTGATTCCTGAAGTCAATCACACCCTTCAGGCTCACGCCCTCTCTGCCACCCCTAGGTCCCAGGAGGTTTCCCCAAATCCCTGACGGAAATCTCAGGCCCCCTGCGCCCTGTGCTCCTGGAGTTGAGGGTAGAAGCTCCTACAGAGGACTCCTGTGGCCATGAAAGAGCTGGGATCTGAGGCTCCAGGTGGCCGAGCAGCTCTCTTCCCTGCCCGCCCCCCACCCCCAAGTCTGAGCCGCCTACCTCCTTATCCAGGGAGGCCTCTAGATGCAGGGGCTTGTCCGACATGAGGAACTGCCTGGTGGTCTCGGCTGTGGGCTGGGGGCCAGGCCTCTCCGGGGCATACTGAACCTTCCTGATAACCAGGCGCACGGAATTCCTAGTGGAGACGGCAGAGCGAACGATGACCAGAGTCCCCTGCTCCATCCCCTTTCCTCACACCCTCCTCCTGCTCAAGAGACTGCCATTGCTCCCCACGGCCTTAGACTCCAGTCCAAACTGCAGAGATTGGCATGGGAGCCTTGTCACCATCTGGCCCTCCTCCATCTGTCCCAGCCACGCCCACCTCCTCACTATCATCCTGGATGCTCTATCTAGTCCTTTCTCTGAAGCTTCATTTGCAGCGGGGCCCCACCTATAATACCCTCTTTCCACTGCTTCTGCCCTCGTTTGCTTTCTTCTTCAAAGCCCAGCTAAATGCCTCCTCTTCCAGGAAGCCCTCCTGGATCTACCCACTTGGATTTTTCTCGTGGTCTGAACTCCCACAACATCGGAGCCGAACCACCCCACGGCAGCACGTCATGTGGGTCTGTGTCTTGGTAGCACTCCCTGCATCCCTTATGTCATCTGATAGTGTAAGCTCCTTAAAGACAGAAATGTTTGTCTAAATCGCTGACTGCTGTATTCTCAGCACCGGTGACAGTGTCTGCCATCTAACAAATGCCTGCTAACTATCTATTAAATAAAAATATGCCGGGAACATGGACCCTGTGAAGAAACGGGGCCTTGAAGAGGAGGCGGGGTCAGTGATGGGGCATGGGCTCAGTCAGGGGTGCAGGCCAGGGAAGAAGATAAAGACTCAGTGAGGGAGAGGAGGCCCAGAGACACGATGGGGCTCGATGAAGGTGACTGGGGCTCAGGGTGGAACAGGGACAGGGAGGACAGGGGACTCGGTGAGGCAGTCTCCATGACATGTTAGATATGCTGGCCTCCCCATTTCTCAGATAAGCCACCTCCATTCCCTGGAGCCAGACAGCCAGCATTAAAATCCTCGCTCTCCCCTTGCTAGCTATGATCTTAGTAAACTAACCTCTGTGTCTCAGTTCCTCATCTGCAAAGCAGTAACAGTAGCAGGACCAGCCTCTTAGGGTAGCTATGAGGCTTAAATTAGTTCGTGCATGCCCATCACTGTGAATACTGTCCGGCACTTAATAAATCTTCCATAAATGACAGCTGCTATGTCATTATCAGTAGTAACTCTGGCCAGAACTTAACATGCCCCATTGACGGTGAGGTGAGGGCGGTGGCTCTCAATGCTACTCCTCTTTCTTGCTCTGATCAGGCTCCATCCAAAAATCCACAATCCCCCTCCTTTTCTCTGGGGACAGAAAAGCAAGGAAGAAATTCCCCTTTCTCCCCGCAACACACTCACACACAAGCTGCCCAGGCAGGAGATGCCTGCAATACACCTATAGCCACCAGGTGGCGCTCTCAGCCCTCTCAGCCCGCCTCCTGTAGGAAATGTCCCACCCAGGCAGGGTGCATCTGAGTCAGGGCCCGCTGTTCCGGGCTGCCAGCCTGGGCTCTCTGTCTGCCCAGGTTGTGCCTCTCCAGGAGAATACGTCCCCTCTCTGAGACATGAGCTGCCCTCCCCTGCCTTTTCCCCTGGGTGCATTCACTTTCTCCACTTCCCTCCCTTGCTTAGACGCCTCCATGGACACCCACCACCACCACCACCTGCTGCTGGTGGCCTCCCAGGAGGAGAATTGGGAAGGGGGCCTAGGATGGCCTGGGAATAACTAAGCTCACTATTTAAAACAGTCTGGATGTCAGGGGTTTTCCAAAACAAAGTAAAAATAATAAATAAATAAAATCTGGAGGGGATGAGACTAGAGGCAGGGAGATGGAGGAAGCAGGTACAATGGTATAAAGAAAAAATGCCAAGGCCTGAGCCAGGGCAATGGAGCCACCTCCTCCAGGAAGCCCTCCATGACCCGCCGGCCTTCCAGAGTGCCCTTCTGGGAGCTCCCAAAGCTGGAATGTGTGGCCCCTCTCAACACTTCCAGGTATTGTGACTTATCTTTTCTGCCTCCCCAGCCGGCCTCCCTCGCTCTGCCAGCAGGCAGCCCACACCCGCCGGAAGCTGCGCCCTGCTCACCGCTTGTGGATCTTCTCCTCCAGGTTCTCTGCACAGAAGGCTTTGACTTCATAGTCCACACCACAGGCCTGTGGGGAAGGGGTCACTGACCACAGGGCCTTGGAGCGTGTGGGGTCCCAAGAGCAGGGCCAGCCACCCTCTCGTTTTACAGAGGAGGATGCTGGGACGGAAGCCCAAGCTCCCACAGCCCCACAGCCCCTTGGTCTGACCGAGAGCCCTGTGCTCAGCCCCAGGGCTGTGCTGCCTCCTTCTGTGGCTGCCACCTGACCTTCTCACGGAGCTGTTCCCCAGCTCCCCCAGTACAGGGCATCCCCAGCGCCCTCACTGGGCTCTGTTCTGCAGACTCCTGCCTCACCTGGGTGGCCATCCTCACCAGGGCAGCTGCCCAGACATACAACAGGCGCCCCAGCTGCCTGGTGTGGGAGCACCTCCTGGCTGCAGGCCGGGCCCTGGGTGCCGTGCTTCCGCGTCTCACTCCACCCTCCCAGCCACATGAGGAGGCACATCCTGTTATCTTCCTTTTGCAGATGAGGAAATGGGGGCTCAGAGATCTGGGGTCTGGGACACTTCTGGTGTCACTTCCCTCTCAGGGAGGTGCTCCCTCGGGGTGGCCCACCTTCCCTGTGTCCTCAGGCCCCGGCTGCAACGTCACCGAGCACGGGAGGTTCGGAGGGATCTGTAAGAGGACAGACAGAATGAGGCTCCTGTCAGTCCCCACTTCCCTCCCCAGCTGCCCCACCCCCACGCACATGCATCAGACCAGGGGCCCCTACGGACAGGCATGTCTCTTCCATCAGACCAGGGGTTCCGGGGGACAGACCGCGTCTCCCCCATCAGACCTCCGCCTCCCTAAGCCACAGCCCAAGGGGGCCAAAGGCCCCTCCAGCAAAGCCAAGTACTTCAGTGTTTGGTTTGTTCTAAAGGGTTCGGCCTAGCCCGGTCTTCACAGAACTGCAGAGAAAGACTCTTTTCCATGATGTCACTGTGGTGGGCAGAATAATGGCCCCGAAGATGCCCACATCCCAGTCCCCCAGACCTGTCCCTTTGGTACCTTACACGGCTAAAGGGCCTTTAAGGATGTGGGTAAGTTAAGGATCTGGGGCCGGAGTCCTTAACGGTGAAAGCAGGAAGCAGAAGAGTCGGTCAGCATCAGTGATGGGATGCAAGACTGGGGGGGGCGGGGGGTCTGGGGAGTGGCTCGGAGATAAGGGTGACCCCGGCAGAAAAGAGACGTGACAGTGCACCGGGTCCCAACCTACCCTGGGAAACTACTGACGTGGAGCTGCTGCCCCAGCTGCCCCCGGGCACCGCCCAGAGGGCTCCCTATAGGTGGTGCTTCTGAACGGGCCCCAGGGGCTGCAGTCCCTGACCTCGAAGGTGAACGGGTAGGCGTGCTCGCCCAGCTTCTTGATGAGGCGCTCCTGCAGTCGGGTCAGCGGCTTCTTGTCCTCGGGGGCCGGCGGGAAGGACTGCACGTTGGCCACGAACAGGTCCTTGCGAAAGGTCAGGCCCAGGACGTCCAGGTCCTCCCGGCCATAGCGGAAGGCGCAGGTCAGGGTCACGTAGACTGTGGGAGCAGGGGGCACTGAGGAGGCGGCCGGGAGGGCAGCAAACAGGCCCCCACGGCAGCAGCTGTCGCCCTGAGACCGAGACAACTAGAGGCCACAGGTCTGTCCTCAAGTTCCCGTGGGGAGGGCCGCACTGCCCTGGGGACAGGGGCATTGGGGGCCTGGAAATGGGGCACCTGGCGGAGGTGGGGGCTGACGGCTGGATCAGTTCTGTCCTCCACCCCGACCCGACGCTAGCCCAGGGCATGTGATGGGCACAGGTGGGGAGGGCAGAAGAGGGGAGACAAGTGGGGGGTGGTATCCAGAAAGCATGGGGTCTCCCAGCCTAACCTCTGCCTCCTGTCTTCCTGCTCACCTTGGACACCCTTCACCTCCCTAGCAATCAGCTTGCTCTCCTGTAAAATGACTCTAACTGCTGCCCCGTTCCCAAGTTCCTCGTGGGGTATTGATGTGCAAGTGCTCAGGGCATTGAAGTGGTTCTCCCACGTGGGCATGGGGCAGGGCAGTTGAGGGAAGGAGGGGGGGATGGGTGGGGAGAGGTAGTATCATTGGCTGCTGTCCTGCCTGGGAGTCAGGGAGGCCCTGACTGGAGGCTGTGCGGCTGGGGGAGAGGCCTCTGGACAGGCTGGGAGGGGGGGGGACCCTCACCTCTCCGCTCCTTGAGGTACTCGGGATCCACCAGGACCACACCATCTGAGGAAGGACAGCGAGTTGAGCAGACCCTCCCAACATGACCTCTCCAACTCCTAAGCCCCCAACACCAAGCCAAACCCAAACCCAGACCCAAGCATCGGTCTGTCCAAAAGCAGCATGAGAGGAAGGGACGCCAGCGCCGAGGATGGCACCACCCTGCCCGCCTCCCGCCCAGGCTGGTCCTACAGACCCCTGGGGGCTCTGCCAGTCAGCCTGTCTGTTTCTCCATCTGCTGTAATAACCCCTGGCCCGGAGCCCCTGTTCCAGGGTGCCATTGGGGATTTAGAAGTTGTGGGTTGCAGGAAGGCCATGGGTACATCTTCCCCGTATTCTGAATCCCTCCCTCCGCAGGCTCTGGGCAGCCCCATGATCACACCCATGGCTACCTCGGCTGGGAAGCGTGAATATTCTCACTGAGCGGCCAAATGAGGCAAAAATGGCCTCCTATTCGTTCCGGTCAGGCTTTGCCATGAAACGAATCCTGCATCAAACGTATGAACAATGTTAGGCTTTCGGAGCTTCTTGGGTCTGGGATTTGCAGATCAGGTTTGTGATCCTGTTGCACCTGCCCCCTAGGGCTCCTGTAGGACCTGATGAGTTAATACGCAGAGAGCGCTGACCGGGGCCTGGCATCGGTGACACCGCGGAGAACGTCCCCAGGCCTGGCCTGGCGAGTGTAGAGCCCAGCCAGGCACAGAGGACGTCGTCTCTGTCCTGAATCCCTGGAGGCCAGGACACTGGTTCAGGGCCTTCCCCTTGCCTCACATCCCCGAGTCACCTCTGGCCAAACTCGACCCAGCTACAGGCATTGAACAAGCAAAAGTCTCGTTCTGCCCACACCCTAACCTGCCCCACCCCCACCCCCACCTCCCACTGCCCCCACAGCGGCCTCTGAGTGAGTGCCCACATCTGAAGGGAGTG